AGTATTGACTTCTCACCTACAAAATCACATCATTTGAAGTAACCTTTAAACTTCCATCCCCCTCTGTTTTTTAGTAAAATGTTAACAAGAATAGAAGATTGACCTAAACTCAGATATTCTTTTGTTATCTTACAAAATGATAAATGATTCATATACAATGCTTACTGCATTTCTAGTGTACTGATCACAGTATTATATGATTAAAAGAAATTATTGCTTTTTCTTTTAATAAATTTCATGTCTGCTGCGAGGAAATGCAGCGAAAATTCTTTATGCAAGCTCAGCGAAATTTAGTTGTATATTCCAAATACAAAGAGATGAAAAAGATACAACTAGCTGAGAAATCATCACCTCAAATGAAAGCTTTCAGAGGGAGGAAAGACAATAGCAATACCAGTTTTTAAAAAAAGTAAACTAGAGAGTAACTAGCTTGTAATTTAGGAATAATAATCAAGAAAACCTTTGCTACAGAATTCAGACAGGACAACAGTACATGCATATAGAAAGGTCAGACTACAGTAAGACATCATGATTTCTCCAAGCCAAGAAAATGCAAAGAACAGTAATTTCTGTTCCAAGTTCCTGAGACAAGTAAAGCTCCAAAAGGAACTGAAAGCGTAAGGAACAGCACAGAGGCCAAAGGATGCACCTTCAGATCCTATAGTGATGTGGTAGCAGTAAACATTTCTGGTTTCAAGATTTACATAAAGGGAGCAAGAGTTTTACAATAAATCCTCCCATCCTGGTCATAGCAGAAGAATAAGCATAGGAAAAAAGTGGTTGCTGAAATCAAAATGTTAGCATCATTTTTGGACAGAGAATGTTTCCAACCTCATCTATTCTTTGGTAGAAAGTACAAATTACAAGAAAAAAACCAAAACAGAAGTCAGAGTTAAAAAGAGTGTTGCCACTAAGATGGTACTTGTACAGAAGTAATTATTAACAGCTCACAAGTATGCACATAAGGTAGATTTAAGGCTTTGCTTGCACAGGAATTCAACGATATAGCATTATACTTGGCAAAACAGTGCCTTGTATTCTCAGTATGTTAATAAGGAAAGAAAATGGAGGCAAAGAAACCCATGAAGTACAAATCCTAATCAGCATCAAGTTACACATTTAATGCCATCACTTGTTACCTGGATTTCTAATTCAGCAATGTGCTGCTGGAGTTCTGCCACAGCTGCAATGCGGTCTGCCTCACGGAGCCGAACTGCCATCACTTCTTCTTTGCTCTGGAAGAAGGACAGATGCAAGCTAACAAATACCAGTTTCAGCTGATTAACAACTGTGCACTGCTTTTACCCAAAATTATAAGAAAACTGCTCTGCACTACTGTGCAAACTACCACTATTCCAAAGAACCCAAATTTATTAACCCCTAGAGTTGTGTAATAATCTAATTAAATTCTATATAAAAAAACCCCACCTCTGCAGTTTTGAAAACTTGCTCTTATCAGTTTTCAGGTCTAGTAAACAGCTGTCTTGTTTTCCAGAAATGTTATATTGTAAATTCAGAAAAAGCATCAACATAATAAAACAGCTTCAGCTTTTGACTTTATATATAAAGAAACAGCAAAGCTACAAAAGAGTTACTTATCTTATAATTTCCCTTGTCTAAAAAATAAAAAAAACCCACAAAAATAAATATATTCTAAACCTCATTTAGTCCAGCTATCTTAAATCACAGTGCACAACAAAGCTTAGAATAAAATACTAACGCACATAACCTACAATCAGCTCCCCACAGTAAGTTTAACCTGTAAGTCCGTCTATAAATGATAGGCAGTCTGAGCTTGGACAAGAGAGAAGGAAACATGAAACATCCTTATTCCTGTTTTATGAGGCAAGTCCTCAAGACATCAGAGCACAAAACAACTAATATTGTATTTTCAGCAGCCCAGTACAACCACAGAGAGAAAGCAGTGCTAGATAGTGAGCAATACTGTCAGCTAGAAAGCAAATAACTCTGGGGAAGAGAGGCTAGGCTCAAGGACACCTACTTTTATGGCAGACTGGTGTAACTAAACTGTAGTTACTATAAATCAGTGCCAGCATTTCAGTTATTTTAACGTGTGCTTCATACTAACAGTACTGATCCCCCATCGTTAGACAGGATGGTTGAGACCAAATTGAACATATCAAAGCTTTTCTCAGTAGCCACTTGAAAACATGCTGTTTGTTTGGGTTTTTTTTAAAGATTACTGTAACAGAGGTATATAATCTACAGGATCCAATTAACAGTATTTGTAATCAGTGGAGCCCATTTCAGAGAAATCCATCGCGTGCTAGCCAAAGTTTAGCCATCCTTGCTAAATTCTGTTGCATCATTGCTCAAATGAAGCCAAACCGACATGTCCACAGGATTGCATGTATTTAACTGAAAGCTGAAGGACAGACTCTGGTATCTGACATGAGTCAATAGTGTTGCTGTAGATGGCACTGATGCTTTATCTCTGCAACAGAGCATGTTCTCAGATACCACAGAACTTGATATGGTGGTAGGAAGGACAAGACTGGGGTGGGGGCACAAATCTTATGTTGTAAATTCTTTTGCAAAACTGATTAGAAAGATTAGTGTTGAGAAGAAACAATCTGAAATTGAGTCCTTGCTGTAGAAGCAGTAGTCAGATAAAAAGGGAAAAGCACAACAGTACACACCAGTGGCAAAAAACAGTTGTCCTACAGGTGGTATGAGATGCAACTTGCTACAAAAATTATAACTTCTGCTTATGCATTTCAAGTTATTTTTTAAAAGAAAAATACAAGCTCCTGAAATAACATACCAGTTCTTTAGAAGTAGAAATATTGCTACCTAGCTGGGATGTACTGACAAAAATAGAATTAGAGCATGATTTCAGATGACTTGAAACAAAAGGAAGAAAAAAAATACACATCAGTTACTAATGGAATCAGGAATAACAAACTTGCAAGACTTAAAGAAAAGGGAGGTGGAACTTTTAAAAGTGTTTAGTGCTACAAAAACTTAATACTTGTCTGTATTGCTCCATGACATTATCTGAAAGATTACTGAAACTTTCTTCATCAGTTTTTAATATAACGTTGTTATAATAGCAACATATTAAATAGCTGTATTTCATGTATTTACACAGCAGCACTGTCTTTTCAAATCAACCCACCTGTTATCTGCATTTCACAAAATCCCCAGATGGTTGGGGTTGGAGGGCACCTCTAGAGATCACCCAGTCCAACCCCTGCTAAAGCAGGTTCACCTGCAGCAGCTTGCACAGAATTGCATCCAGGTGGGTTGTGAGTAACTCCAGAGAGGGAGACTCCACAACCTCTCTGGGCAGTCAGTATTTCAGACCAAATCTAAGGTGGCAGCAACACTGTTTAGTAAAGGTACAGACACTGAACCTACTTGTAGAAGACCTGTAGGTACAAGTCTGCTGTTACTGCTGGAGGCCAGCCCTTCACACCTGCAACATATTCCTTACACTGTAGTCACAGGACACGCTGGTCTCTTGTGACACCTAATATTAAAAATGCCAGTAATATTGCAAGCTTTTGCCCTGAGAAGCACAACCAAGTTTCTCTTTCTACTTTTAACTTCAGGATTTTTTTTCCTTTCAATTCACTTTAACATTAAAATTTCTTTTTCATCACATAGTGAAATAACCCAAGCATGAATTGTCTTCATTCACTGGTACAGAAGCGGGGAGACAGGAACCTAAAGTAATCTCTTCTATAATAAAAATAAGGAAAAATACTTTACATTAATCTTAGATTTACTAAAAATCACGCTTCCAGTAATTTGAGTATGGAGAAGGGACAAGAAACAGAGTGACATTCCTTACAAATCAAAAGTGGCTTTTTGTATTCCCTTTTCCATTTTTCATTTAATTGTATATTATTATATAGTTGGAGTGAAATTGAGAAATTTTTCCTAAGTTTGAAACAGCAATAGGAAGCTCAACATCAAGTTAGGTCCCATTTAAGGGGTGGGAGAACACTTGAATATATTTGAATATTTGAATTTGAATATTGAATATATTTAATATTGTTTAATTATTTTTTATTACATGGTATTCTTATTAAATCTGTAAAACACTGTGGAAATTATGAACTATTAGAGAATAAACTCACAAAGAACATTCACAACAAATGTCAGAGGTAGTGGGGAAAAAGGGTATATGAAGAAGAAACTTCATTGAAGAAAGGTAGTTTTGAACAAGTTAATTTTGAGTGCCTTCCAATACACTTTGCAAAAACACTTGTGCATTTAAGCAGTACAGGAGTCTACATGGTATTCTGCTAGGTCTCATCCCAAGAAGTCACTGTCTACCTCAAAGTTAAACAGCAGAAATCCAGGTAATGGATATGCATCAAATTGGTAATGTTTCATTTTATATCAGAAGCATCAACTTGTAAAACATCTTACAATGTAAATCATAATTTTTTTTCCTATCAACTACAAAACAAGTTTCAGGATTTAATGTCAGTGTATGTCAGGACCGCTACTTCACGGGCTGTTGAGCACTGCTGTTTTCAGAGTATCTCTAAAGAATATGACTGGTGCTCTGTCAAATACTGTCACGCTTTTCTCTAGCCCGTGCTAGAACAAAGCTTTACAGGCAAATTATCCCAGTGAGAACAGTTATGTATATGAACTCTTTAGCCAGGTTAGAAACATATTCTCTTTATAGCCAACATAAACCCAGAATATTGACTATACACTCCAGTCCTCAATCTCAATGTTTAATGAGCACCTTCAGTATCAAGACCCTATCAAACAAAAAAGTTATGGATTATATGAAAAACACGTATCACCAAGATTGAAAATATTAAAAAAAAAAAAAATCTGTAAGAATAATCTCAGCATTACAAAATAGCACTTAGGGACCCAATGATTATGGCAAACAAGACAGTCAGTAGGAGCAATTTCTTCTAGTTAAGATTCAGTGGCTTGTTTCCCTAAAGTTTGTGATGGAGTTTGAGTAGCTAGTAGAAGTTAAACTCTCCATCGCACTTTTGATTCAGGTTCCACTAGAAACAAATGGAACTGGCAAAACAGCAAGAAAAATGAAAACCTAAAAGTGTTGTCTAGGAGTGGTTTTTTACATTACATACACTTTTCTGAGTAGAAGCACACTTTAAAGTTTATCTTTGTGGGACCACAAAGAAGCAGCTCTGTCAAAACCTCAAGTATTTTTGTGAGATGGTAAATTCAAGATGATGCTGCCAAAATCAGTAAAAGGAATTTCAGTTTTATGATTTATGCTTCTCACTTACGACACAATTCTATCCCACAGCAGCAGACAAGACTTAAATGTACATGTATATTAGCACCCAAGTAGTCTATTCAGGATGTTGTTTACCTTGCATTCAATCTCTGCTTGTCTACGTTTTGCTTCATTCAACTGAGCCAGAAGTCCTTTGTTCTGTGCAGAAAGATACTGCACCTTCTCCTGTAGGTTGGTAACCTCTTGCTCTGCCCTTCGTAAATGATTACTATTGATCTGATTCTGAAATTTATGACAAAAAAAGGGAAAGAAAATGCATGTTAAGATTTTTTATATTAATTTAGCTCTCTGAAATCTGTCAAAACAGACTTATTGTTTACCATAAAAACTTTTAATGAAAAAGCAGTCAGAGTTTTCTAAGTGCAGTTAGAAGAGTTTGCATGATGCTTTGTTTATGATCAAGATATTCAAATTGTTCCTCAACAACAGATGGCTCATTGCAAGAATACTATTGCAAAACTGATGTATGTTTGTTTTTCCTAATTTCTTGCTTAGGTAAGGCAAAGATTTTGTGAACTTGTATCCCAGCTGCAGCATGCACCCAGGAAACATCAGGTATGTCAGAAATATTATGTGCACATTTCTCTGTCCAGTGAATTCCTGAAAGGAACGTGGCACCTTAACTGAGATCAGTGCAGTAGTAGCAGTCACACCATTTGTAGGTGAGGCTGTACCAATACCATCTGTACTGGCTGCAGGCCAGCACCCAACACGTGAACCAGGGCCCTTCTGTCAGCTGAGAGCTAAACAGCATAAACACACACAGACTCAATGCACAACAACACTGAAGTACCTAAAAGGTCTCCTGACTTTAATACAGGTAAGCCAGACAGCAGGATCCCTGTGCCCCCTACTGACCAGAATACGCACATGGGGTGAAGGCAGCAACATAAAAGCACCTTAAGTGTAGTGCAAGAGTATTGCCAGTTCAGTGAAAATTTTAAAAGGCAAAAGGAAACTTTTATTCAGTTGGTATAGACAAAGCAGTGCCTCTGTCAGAAATAAACTACCATGTGCCTTGCAGTAAGCTAATCTCTCTTCAATAGCACACCCTTATGTGCTCTCATTATTTTTAGAACTGTTGAACCTTGTCAAGTAAAATTACTGTTTGTTTAGCCTTTTAAATGCACAAGTCTCTTTCAAAAGACAGTTACATTTAGCAGATATTTCATGGGAGGATTTCTCCAAAGTCTGTTACAAATCTCTCATCAACAGCACACTGTGCTTACTGACTCGAGAGTCAGTATAGTATGAACTCACCACTTTAGTGCACTTTCATTTCAGATTCATTTACTTAACAACTTACTCCCTAGTTATAAAAAAATAATTTTGGCAATCAAGCTATGATTGTCTGTTCTGCACAAACCTCAGCAAGGGCCATCCATGTGTTTCTATTCTGGCACACAAAAGGCAAAGCTTCTGCTAAAAACACCTGACCAACACAAGAGCTTTGCTGAGTCCACAGCTTAGTAACCAGATCCATCATCTCAGCAGAAAACCTGCTATCACCAATTTCACCAGAAGCAAGAAAACACTGCCTTTTAAACAATTAGAATTACTATTATTGGAATTGCCAATTAGATTTGTGAAATTTAAAACACCTTAACCATACTTTTGTTGTTATACCAGGTATAATTTAATGAATTTACATTCACACATAGTTTACTGACTAATTCAAATGAGAAATCTGGAAAGCATAGTCCTGGAAGACTAAAGAAGAGACATTAAAGTAAGCTGGACTGTACGCACTAGGTTCTTCCATCCTAGTCCAACAGCAGCATCCAGCTCAATTCACACGTACTGGTGTTCAAAACATACCTGTGTTTCCATCTCCATCATTCTTTGTTTGGTCTCTTTCAGTTCAGCTTGAGTTTCTGCTTCTCTCAACCGGACTGTCATCAGCTCATCCTGTAGCTCATTCACTGCATTTTTTTTGGGAGGATCTTTCCATCTTCCAGTGGTACGAGCTAGATGACGCTAGAAAAACAGCACGTTTTTGCTGACAGTGCCTGATCTTTCCTGGCGTTCCCTTATTTAGAGTTATTTGAGGACAAATAGCTGTACTTCTCCTGTTGTTTTTAAATGCTAGAAACCCATGGAAACTTACTGCTTTTAAGAACAGTTAAAAACTTGGAAGACAGTCATTCCCAACTACAGTAAGTCAGTGAATTGCAACTATATCCTGAGACTTTTGCCTATTTCTAGACATTATTACCACTTAGCAAGGTCCGAGTACTGCTCAGGTACTTCCCTCCTACCAGAACTGCTACCTGGAAGTGCAGGCCCTCTGCCATCTAGGGACCAACTTCTAACATATTTTCCAAATTTAGTTTCTTGTGGCAGCTACATTTAAAGATCTTTTCACCTCAGCAGTTTGATCCACAGTCATTACTTTCTACTTGATCTATAATTCAAAATTTCATAGTCTTGCTTTATCATCATTCATTGAAAATAAAAATTACTAAAAGTGTATTGCTACCCATACCTGCCAGTGTTCCTCCAAATCTTTGACTTGCTGCCTTAATTCTTTGAGACCCATCGAAGCTTCTGCTTCTCTTAATTTTACTGCAATCAGTTCCTCTTGTAGTCTGGCAACGTTTTCCTCATCAGGGAGGGAGCTGTTCCTCTGCAACAAGGACCATCCTCTTAAATACGTATTTGAATAAAATTGTGCTTAGTGAAACCCACTCCAAGAATATAGACATGGAACAGTAACTCTTATTACTAATCAAGCTTTAAGTACACATCCTTTGCAAAATAAAATCCCTCAGAAAAATCTAAGTTTCTGGATACAGTATGTATAAATAACTTCTAAATGCCAACTACAAAAAAATGAAAAGGTAGTAGTTTTAGGTATTCTGACTTCATGATTTCCCTAGATGGTATCTCCCTAATGAAACATATTTAAAATATTTGAAGCCATCAAAAATATGGAGAGAAATCTGAAAGATTTTGAGCTAGTCGCTAAAAAGTAAAGCAAACAAGGAACTAAAACTACACCTTAAAGCTATAACTTCTACTTAGGTTTACAGAGAAAATAATAAATGGAAAATTATTTTTTAGGAAGTAGGTCACCAGCCTTTGCAACATATTTGTTATCCTTTTCCAAGGAACCATACATTAACATTTATAAACAAGTCAAGAAGAGGTCTTAGAAATGAAAGTGCAAGACACATGAGGAAAATAGAAAAGGGAAAGCTAAACAGAACACAGGAAGACACTAGGAAAAGCAACACAGAGATGAAATCCTAATAATGGAAATATGGGAAAATAACACAGGAGAAGAAAAAGGACAGTCTGTCCCACTACAATATCCCTAGAGCGAATCATTGGACACCAAGTATTCAAAGTTGAACTGTGCTTCATCACTTTCTACTGTATTTCTCAACAGCAAAATCCAGTGTTTTTGAAGACATGTAACACTGTGACAGTTGCCAGGTTTTCTTGAGAGCTGAGAGTAAAGAAGACGATTAACAGAACACAGCACAATAGCCATTTATTAGCATTCCATGTTTCAAAATCAAGGGATCTGAGTACTGGCAAATCTAGGACGTGAGAGGGTGTGTTTCTGAATGTTTCCATCACTGTCAGTACAGCCATGCAAGTCTTGGCTTATTCAGCAGGAGTTCCCCAGATTACATGATACACCAATAACAGCAATAAAGAGCTGTACTGTAGGAATGAGGGAATTAGCTTCAGCTAATTCTTTCTCATTATAAGAGACTGAAATACTACTGTACATCTGAGTTTGTCTGGTACACTGGAATTGACCCCATTACTCCAGTTTTTCTTCAGAGATAAGTTTTCATGCCTGCCGTCTCTGAGTTAAGTAGTCTCCTTTTGAATTTTGAAAAATAACTTATATCCTGAAATCTTACCAATGGTCACTCCAGTAAAAGTACCACACTACTAGCCTGCCAGGTGCTCATCAAGCTCCTCAGATAATTTAAAAAGAAATCTTGACTCCAGTGGTTTAATTTAATCAGCTAGTAAGTTCTGGCCAAAACCTGGGTATACAGCTCTTTAAAATTTCCTAAGGAAACTATTTCCAAGGTCAATACAAAAAGATCTGAAAAGCATGCTTTGTATAAGGTCCATTTTTTTTTTTTTTTTTTGGTTTTGTTTTGGTTTTTTTCAATGTTGCTATTTTATCTTGCAGTTAAGTTTTACTTCAAAGAAAGGTAAATGTTTGACAGTTGGTTTGAGTACAGCTTGAGCTCTGGCATCAGGAAGTTACAAGCTACCATGGCACCCAAAAAGCAGCAGAGATTTTGATAATCAATGGTGGAGGGATTCCTTCCCTTACCATATTAGGACCAAGTAGAAGATGCTGAAGACCCGGGAATGGTAATATTGGACTCTTCCATCCTTCACTCCCAAACTGTTTAGTTTCACATCACCTCAATGCTCACTCTAAGCCCCCTGCTCTTGTTGCATGATATCATTTTGGAACAACTGATATTTCCTGTAAACATTTCATCAGAATCCAAGTTTTCCACTACAGTAGGCTTCAGGAACAAGAGAAAAGGGATTTGTTCTTCACAAACCTTTCCCAGTGCAAACATATCTTAGTTTTATTATTGTTGTTCTTACAGGTTTGAAAAGCATCTTGTAATAATGAAAGCATAGAAGAGAAAGTTCTAGAGCACAGTAGTGAGGAGAATTACAGGGACCTGTATTCTGTTTCTAGTGCTGTTCTGTACAGAGGGTCCTGGTTTAATTTACCTTTTCCATCTCTAGAACTTTATCTTGCATCTCCTTCAGGGCACAATGGGATTCTGCTTCACTCAGCCTGGCTTGGACCAGCTCTTTTTCCAGCTGTAGCACAAAGTCTTCACTGTATCGTGAACTGCATTTATGCTACAAAGTTTGCAGAAATATGTTTAGTATGAAGCACAGATGGTTTGAAAGGGGTTTTATATACCAGACCTGGTATGAAAAGTACATTCAGATGTGTAAGATCAGGAATACGACCTTAAGTGCTTACCTTATACAAGTCTATTAATATGTCCATCCAGACCGCCAACAAAAATATTCCTAATTCTCTGCCTCAAACAACCACACCCCACACAGCCAAATGGG